CAGAACGTTAGATTTTGGTTCCCAGAACGTTCTCAGAACATTAGTTTTTGGTTCCCAGAAGAGTGGTTTTTGGTTCCCAGAACGTTCTCAGAACGTTAGATTTTGGTTCCCAGAATGTTCTCAGAACATTAGTTTTTGGTTATCATAACGTTAGTTTTTGGGTACCAGAAAGTTCATTTTTGGTTCCCAGAACACTATTTTTTTATGGTTTGTTTTTAGTTAGACAATAGTTTTCTTTATGTTCAACAACAATTCATCTTTTTTTTTACTTCAATAAAATACAACAGTAAATCTATATTAATAATAAACCTGTACAGTCCATGTTTTTGTCGATTCATTGTTTAATTGTTGATTAAAAACAGACAAAAAAAACACAATTATATAGGCCTAGGCTGTGCATCACATTCAAAACAGGCAAAACGTAAAGGTGAAACGAAAACAATTGTAGATCCTGCACTTGAAAGCCTCATCCATCTTCATCCATCTTCACCACAGTCATCTGTAAGAATAACAAATAGTAACATTATTACAAAGAAAAGTAAAAAAATATATATATTCTTCAATCAGTCACTGCCATTTAAGTGAAATGACTGAACCTTAAAGGAACACTCCGACTTTTTGGGACTTTAGCCTATTCACCTCATCCCCCATAGTTAGATAAGTCCATACATACCTTTTTCATCTCCGTGCGTGCTATAAGTCTGTTTGACGCACCCACCGCTAGCCTAGCTTAGCACAAAGACTGGATGTGAATGGTTGCGGCTTTCATACTAATCCAAATGAGTGACAAAATAACGCAAACGTTTTCCTATTTACATGTTGTGGTTTGTATAGTCACAGACTGTGTATACCTGCATTTTTTGTGTTTTTTATGTATAATATGTGTGCTAAACAAAAGTGTATATAGTTTCTCATTGATAATTGTCTTGAGATATACACATTTATTCACATTTATAAACTTATTATTATAATCTCCTAAAGTCTTAGAATTTTTATGTTTTCAAGTTCATGATTATTTTTTATTATTTTTTATTTAATTTTGTAATACGTTTATAAAAATACATGTTCACGGTTTTTATATGTAGATACATTTTTTGCATACATTTAATTTATTGTAATGATTTTATATTCATACAATCAATTGTTTTAATTTTTTTAAATAATTACTATTCAGGTCAATGTGAACAATAAACAATGTCAGTTTCTCATGATATTTAATTAGTATATGATCATATATGTCCTATTTACATTTATTAAATTATTACAGGCTAATCTGTTTAGTTTTAGAATCTTTATCTTCATGGTTATCTTCATGGTTTCAAACTGCAATTTTGAAAATTTTATATAAATATATTTAAAATATATGTGCATGCACTGTAAAAAATAAAATCGTAAAAAAAGGGTCAAATAACTGGCAGCAAAGGGTGCCAAATACATACCGTAAAAATAAAGTTAAATATCCTAATATAAATTAAGTTGTTTTACAGAAAAACACTGTTATTTTACAGCTATTATCTGGATTATTACGATCAAACACTCTAACTGTAAAAACAATGCATTGTTATAATCATAGTAAAATACAGTTCATAGTAAAAAACAGTCAATGACTGTCAGCAATGGCTGCCATACAAAAAACATAAAATGAATGTAAAATAGCCTAATTTAAATAAGTGCAAAAGTAGAAATCTTCATTAAGCTCTTTAACAGAAACACAGTTATTTCACATATTTCCTGAATTTTTTATTAAGAAACATGTAGGTGATGTATGATTTTCTGTCACTATACATCACTGCATCAGCAACTACACAGTTACTGTCAGTTAAATAAAGGAACATGCAGCATTTCATCAGTGTCTCTTTGCTCATCCTGAACTGAAGCACAGGCTCTACTCTTCAACACAATGGTGACCCACAAAACACACCATACAGAAACAATCCAGACTTTATTTATTGCATACTAACATTCTTACTGAGACAGATGTTTAGAAGTTGATTTTTTATGTAAAATTATAAATGTTGATGTCACCATAATGGAGATCAGTGTTTGCTTTAGTGGGGCTCTTGACCCTTTGCTTTTAACATTACTAAATAGTTACTCTGGCTTCTTTAACTGAGTGTCATAATTGATTCATATTTGTTATGGTAGGAATCCAAGAGAATCTCAGTTCAGAAGATCTGATCACTTAATAATGGTAATAGGTTTTCATGTAATTGAATGCTTAGTGATATCACCTGATTTTTAATGCACTATGGCTCAGCTTGTCAGCTAACTACGGCTCTTCGTCACAGCAAAAACTCAGTCAGTGTTAATTTAACCCTCCTGGGATACAGGAGTATACACTCAAGAGTGTTAAAGTTAATGAGATAATTAAGTGATTAACTGAGTGATGATTGAGCATTATTGAAGACACCTAAAGCAGAATCACAAGGAGAAAATCGAAAATTGTAAGCCACGGTATGGAGATGAGTGTTTGCTTTAGTTGGGCTCTTGACCCTTATTTTATACACTTTATATTTTAATTGGCTGTTGTATCTGAGTTATACCTGCCAGATGAACAAAGAAAAAAATATTATCTAATAATTTTTGTTATATTATGACAATCATTATTTGAACTTAATGTATGTGACTTATGTTGTTGGTTACATTATAACTGTGATTCTGTATAAATACCCAGAATTTGAGATATAATATAATGGATAGCTTAAAAGTTGTACAAAAAAAGAAATTCTGTCTTTTAGGCACACACAGATATCAAGATTCAGTCAATGCTTCTCAACAATGGTGGTGAGTAGAATATTCAAGTAGGAAAAGTAAATTACATAGACAATTCAGATCATAATTAATTCATACCACAATGCATGATGGGAGCCATGAATGAGTTGTGATTGGTGGCAACAAGGATTATTATTGTCACCACGATTGAGATACACAGGCTGATTATTGATGTCTGTGTTTCTAAATAAAGATAATGGGATTTGATCAGAACAATTTTTATTACATATTTTGGATTATAAGAAAAATACAGATTATCATATGCTGCAGAACCACTAAACTGTTGCTAACAAGTTAAACCGAATCATCTGAATAGGTTTCATTTAGATCTCAGTATGATTATGTCAAAACATAACCAACTCTGTCGATCCCACTTTTCTTTGTTCATTTGACTGTTATAAATCAATAACAGCAGACAAACAAAATTTAAAGTGAAAGTATAAGTGCAGAGAGCCCAACTAAAGCAAACACTGATCGCCATAACGGTGGCTTACAATTTGTGATTTTCTCCTTCAGTGATTCTGCTTGTTATCACCAGGTGTCTTCAATAATGCTCAATCGTCACTAAATTAATTAACTTAATTAATATTGTTTCAATATAACAAGGTTCATGGGGAAAATACGACAATCCTAGATTTAATCTAAAACTTAAGTACACCTATTTACAATGTAATCACAACAGATACACTCACAACAGATTTCTCTGTCAAATCAGTGAATCAGGTCACCATATGATGACTATAACATCACCAATAACTGACCAACATCAGCTGATATTTTCTCCCGATTTCAATGCTATAACAAATGTATGTTGAAAACATAATTAAAGCAGCAAGAGTAAAACTAATAGCATATAATAAAGGTCAAGAGATCAACTAAAGCAAACACTGATCTCAATCATGGTGATGTCAAGTTTTTATTTAAATTAACATATTTTTACTGTAATTTTATGTTTTTTGTTTGGCACCCTGTGCTGCCAGTGAATTGACCCTTTTTTAACGATTTTTTTACAATGACGGTATTTGATCATAATAATGCAGGAAATACCTTTAAATAACAGTGTTTTTTTCAGTTTATTTAAATTTGAATATTTTACTTTAATTTTATGGTTTTTGTTTGGCAGCCTTTGTTGCCAGTCATTTGACCATTTGTTATGATTTTTTTTACATTGAAGGTATTTGATCATAATAATGCAGGAAATACCTGTAAATAACAGTGTTTTTCAGTTTATTTAATTTATGACGTTTTACTTTAATGTTACAGTTTTTTGAGCTACAGTCATGTAATCATTTAACTGTTTTGTTACCATTTAATTACAGATTCTATTTGTACTTTTACATAAATGTTAATGTAATTTAAGAAAACAGAAAAATACTGTATGAAAAATACAATCAATTACTGTAAAAAAAGTGAATGACTGGAATTTTTTTTCTTTAATGTAACAATACCTAAAATATCAGCTGCATTTTTATTTTCCAGTTATTAGTTGTAATTTTGCAGTGTTTTGAGTACAATTTAAAATGAAAGAAAATGGTCGTCAAAAATCACAGTTATTTTTTGTAAAATTAGGATTTTTTTTACAGTGTGGCTTTTCGTGCCATTAAAATTTTGTGCATACATTACATTTATTATAGTAATCTTCATACGATTCTTATGTTTTGGAAAAAATAAACAACATAGAAGATATTTTTTGTAGACTTATTTGTGTACAGGCATATCGGGATGTAGAGGTTAGGAGAACGTTCCGGGAACCTTTAGGGAACGTTCCCGAAATGTGAATAGATCACAATGTAGACTGAGGAATAAACCGAGTCCTCAGTCTTCACTCATGTCGGTTTCGCAAATGTAAACAGACACATAGGGATCACACTTGGATGTTGGATCGTCTGAATATTACCTTTCTGCTCGTCTCCTCAGATCTCTTAACTTTTGTGCCATGCAGACCTTGATCTCAGTGCCTCCGATGCCTGGGTGCCTCTTTTTGACATAGTCTGTAAGAAATGAGATTGATTACATTAAAATTTGAAAACAAGTTTGTCATGACGTGACATAACTGCCAGATTCAAACTGTGCTTTCCACGCTATGGCTGGTGCTGACAGATGCGCTCAGCGCTTGTCATATAATAACTATTGATAAAAGATATTCAGACATGCTTACCAATAATTAGCTGCACCTTTTGTAGGTCAAGGCTCTTTTTTCACCAACAACCCCTTTTTTTCCGTTCATGTTGCCATCTCTTTGAAAGACAAGATGGAGTTCATAAGAGTTCTGGTTAACTTTTTGTAACCCTTACATCTCTGAGCATGATCCAAACCAACTGGGTTCATTAAGTCAGTCACAAACTTGTTCTGCAAAGCAAAAAATAAGATAGAAAATTTTCGTCAGGACAGAAACTGTAATCTTTTCAACGTTATTGCATATTAGATGAGGTTTTCACGTTGGAGCTGTGAGTGTAAATTTTAGCATACAAGTATTTATTGTTCATGCTCGAGTCTTGTTACTCTTTTACCTTCATAGGTATTCCAGAGTTTATAATAATAATAATAATTAATAATTCGTTACATTTATATAGCGCTTTTCTGGACACTCAAAGCGCTTCACATAGAAGGGGGGGATCTCCTCAACCACCACCAATGTGCAGCATCCACCTGGATGATGCGACGGCAGCCATATTGCGCCAGAACGCTCACCACACACCAGCTTACTTAGTTTAGGGGTAAAATGCGAGAAATCTCCTTTAGTGGACTTTTATGCTGGGCACTACTCACTGATCTATATAAACGACTTGATTGCTTACGACGTCATGTAAATTGAAGTCACCATATTCAATTGAATTAATAGGAAATTATTATCAATGTTAAAAACAGTTGTGCTGATTAATGCGTTTGTGTAAATCATTGTAACAGTTTAAACCATTTTTTCCCCTCCAAGATTCATTGTTAAATAGACCACAAACATATGAAGGGTAGTTTACACTAATGTTCAAACATTTGGGGTCAATGATAGATTTAAAAATTAATAGAACAAAAAAAAGAAGAAATTTTTACTCAGCAAGGATGCATTACATTAACAAATATATTCAAATAAATGCTGTTATTTAAACCTTTCTATTCATCAAATAATCCTGAAAAACACAAAAATATGAAGCAGCACAACTGTTTTCAACACTGATAATAATCATAAATGTTTTTTTATTTATTGAGCTTCTTCGGCTCACCTGTGTCCTAACGTTACTTCTCCGGCAGCAGCTTTCTTCAGAAATGTTGAAGTAGTAGAGCTTTCTCTCTGATATGGGTTATTTCATTACTACTGAAATCACAGAACATTTAATCAAAATGTGTTTAACGTTACCATTGAGCTAACGTTAGTTTCGGCCAATTGCTCCTGAAAGTCCTGAAACATCACCGATACGTTACGTTTACGTTAAATAAATTAGCTCACTGTAAAACCCTTACAAAACCTCTCATTTACACATAATAGGTGATTAAAAGAAACTTTAATAAATAAAAGTGCAACCGAGTTAACGTGGATGTTAGTTAGCCTTGCTAACGTTAGCTGCTACCTCTTTAGCCTTGCTAAGTTACCTCTACGGACTTTTTCCGAAGACTACACCATGTCGATAAAGTACATTTTTAACAGAATCCTGTCAATTACTGAAAGTGCTTTGTAAATAGAATATGAAAGCAGTAGCCTATTGATTATATCAAATAACATTATTGTCGTTGAATATTCAACTGTAAACCTGGACTTTCACAGAGAGCTTTGGTTATTAAATTAAACCAATAAATAACCTGCAGGGAACGTTCTGGAAAGGTTCTCTTTAGGTTACAAAATTAAACCTAAAAATAACCAGCAGGGAACGTTCTGGGAAGGTTCTCTTCAGGTTACAAAATTAAACCTAAAAATAACCTGCAGGGAACATTCCCGGAACGTTCTCTTTAGGTTATAAAATTAAACTTAAAAATAACCTGCAGGGAACATTCCCGGAACGTTCTCTTTAGGTTATAAAATTAAATCTAAAAATAACCTGCAGGGAACGTTCCCGGAACGTTCTCTTTAGGTTATAAAAAAAAAACCTACAGAGAACGTTCTTAGAACGTTCTTATTTGGTTCCCAAAAAAATAACCAAATGGGAACCATATGGGAACGTTAGGGGAACGTTCTGTGTTTACTGGGAGGATTCTGACAACAGCCAATGCTCCACATGGAGGTCGGATCTCACCATCATTGAGTGCATCTGAAATTATATGAAGAAACAGAAAAAAACAGACTAAGACCAGAAGAACTCATCACTGCTGACCTTGTTGCGGCAGCGCGGATTAATAGAAATGGATAGAAAAAAGTGCCGCATTAAAACTGAGGTATGAATTTTGAGCGGCGTGTTTTTTGTGTGGTAAATTAATCAAGCTTTGAAACGCAAATCATTTTTTCACGTAAAAAACGCACAGTTTTGTGGCCCCGGAAAATAAATATATTTCATAAAATATTTTCACTTTCATAAAAATATTAAGATTGATATTATACATTATAAAAAGCAGTGTGAACTTTAAATTAAACAAATGCTTTCATCCTCAAAAAAGTAAATTGTAAAAAAATATATAAAGTGCCAGGAGACTTAAATCTTCCATGAACATCATGGAACATAACATAACATCACATCATAACATCAGTGGCCCAGTAGTAGTGTGCAGTATTGGAGCATGCCTACTTCCTTTTATAAGTGTACTTCTTGTCACTCCGTGCAGCACTGAGAAGCTGTTTGTCTTTCAAACAGATATTGTAAAACTCTGAACAGGACTGCTCAAAGTTGAGAGTGATCAAGAGCTCACTCCTTATGAGCTCCACAGAGCACCTGTTCCTGCTGTCACTTCATTTGTTGGACATTCAAACCAGTGGATGCTGGGATACTTAAGATGTGGCTGATGATGGACAGCATGTTAGGTAGGTTAGCTACTTGAAAGAGAGCTACCCACCTGGCAGCCACGTCTTTGGACTTCCATTCGTAATCTGCACCTTCTCTGAGCCCCTTCAGAATGCTATTTGCTGTGGTGCATTCATCATAAAGTTCATCCATACTGACTTTATGGACAAGGTTAAGCTTATTAGTGATCATCTCAGTGTCGCTGAAGGAAAGCATGCCATGGTGCAGAGAGAGAGGTTGCAGGGAGAACAGCCAGTTGTCCTCTGAAAAGTCAAACAATTTTTCAATGTATGAGATTGCTGTGTTGAGAAATTCTGTGAAATCTCTCCTTGCCCTGTCTGCATCATGTGGGAGAAGATGCTGCAGCTTCACTTTTGTTAAGTAGCCATAAAACTGGTCATCTCTTCTCTGTGTGAGTTTTTGCTTGAAGGTAGACATGATGGAATATAACTCAACACAGGTGGTTGAATCATTTTCCAGCTTCTTTACAACATCCTCAAAGAGGGAGAGGATGTTATTGCAGAACAGGAGGTAAACCTCCACATGATCAGCATCTTCTTCAGTTGAGGTTTCACTGAGCTTTAACAAAGCACTGATCTGTCTGGGACACTCTTCCCCCAGGCTGATGAAATAACTCCTGAGAGCAGTCCAAGATTGCATAAGCCGGGAAATGGCTGGATTGAGGGACAGCCACCTTGTTGTAACATGTCGCAGAATCTCACGGAACTCCACGTCACAGAACTCGCAAAACTCTTTCAGTGATTCCCTTCGTTTGGCAGATGTGGAGAAGTGGCCATACACCTTCAGCACAACATTTTCCACATCTACAGTGAGCTGATCGAGAGCATGCTTCACTGTGTTGTGCACAATATGGGCATGGCAGTTTCCTTGCCGCAGATCTTTTTGCTTTTTCTTTAAATTGGTGAAGACAGACTTGTGGATTCCATAATTGACATTAGTATTGTCAGCACTATATGCTGTAACTTGATCTAACGATAAGCCAAATTTATCAAGGGAATGTTCTATGTAATCCATAATACCAGCAGCTGACTCATCTGCATTCTCCCCAAAATCAAGCATTTTGTTGCAGATCCCAGTTTCTGGCCTGAAATACTGTACAGCAAGGGGAAACATCTTCCTGTTCCCTTTATTTGATGCATCCGTCTGTATGGAGAACGGGAGTGGTTGTTTACCTGATGTTAAGATGTCAACAACATCAGCCACTGCCTTTGGAGCAAGGACGTCTTTGGCCATTGCTTCTGCCTTAGTTCTCCCGATGGACATTTTCTTTATGATTTTGGAGTCATGCAGAATCTTTTGGCTAAGCTTGTGTCCACAGTCAGCACTGTTATAGCTGAGGTTGTGTTTAACAGTGTGGTACACCTGCGTTAACTCCGCTGCTGTAACCTAGAGAGGAGAAGGATGACAAATTGCTATTAAACTTTAGTAATTGTATAAGGTGTCGTGAACAGATTTTGAATAAAATATTTGTCATTGTTTGCAGACAGTAACACCGTCCAAACAGTGAAACCACATAATAAATTACTGATCTACAAACATTTCTAAATTCATGTAAAAAACATTTTTTTATTATTATTGGTAAGTTAATCTATTTTATATAGTCTATTGTTAATTCTACAGTAGCCTATTGAAGAATGCAATCATGCACCATATTTTTATTATTAAATATATCTCTCTTGTCTGTTATTAAAATAATGCTTATGTGTCTGACTGTACGCCTTAACCGTAATAAACAAATCGGTAACACTTTAAAATAAGGTTCATTAGTTAACTACATCAATTAACATTAACTAATAATGTACTGCACTTATACAGCATTTGTTCATCTTGGTTCATGTTAATTTCCACATTTAATAATACTTTATTAAAATCTTGTTAATATTAGTTAATGCACTGTGAGCTAACATGAACAAACAATGAACAGCTTTATTTCTATTAACTAACATTAACAAAGATTAATAAATACTGTAACAAATGTGTTACTCATTGTTAGTTAGTCATGTTTAATAAATGAACATTATTGTAAATTGTTACCAACAAATCATACTATTACGTGATTCATTATAACATTTTTAACACTATTTCTTAACAAATAGGCAGTCTATGAAATCTAATGTAATCAATCAGAAAATTATTGAGGTGATTAAAAACTGTCATTACACTATCTGCTTCAGGAGATGATTGAGGTATGAAGAACTGTGAGACGGTGCTTTGATTTCTGTGACCTCTAGCATTGCGGGAATGTTGTTCTCCCGAGGCATGCTGTCGCACATCTGACAAGCCACCGTGCGCAACAGAGAACACTCGCCGACAAATTTTGCAATTGGCTTGATACTCATTTCCGCTGACACTTTCCAGCCAGGTATTTGATTCCTCCCACTCTCGTCGGTACTTTTGCATCCGCTTTCGTTTCAGCGCTGGACGCGGGCGGGGAGTATCTGGAGCAGCCTCCGCCATTCTTTGAAATCGACTCTCTGTCAAGAGACCCGCCCGCCTCTGACTCTGATTGGCCATGAACCTGAAACAAACCAATCAATCCAACGATGGCAGCGAGTATTACCCAATCAGGGGCAGAATAAGACGAGTCTTCACAGAATGCCGAAAACTCCGAAAATACGGGACAAACCCCGCTCTATTTTATTCTCAAATACGGGACGATTCCGTATTTTAAGGGACGGGTGGCAACCCTAGTCACAACACAGTGTGTATGCACTATAGTGCTGGTAAGGTTTGCATACAACTTCATGTCTTAAATGGGCGAACTAACCCTTTAATGGCACAGGTGAGATTACACTATATTTAGCAGAAACAGCTGGCAACAATAACTTGTGAGCAACATGTTTGTACGTGTTTGTATTTTTGAGAGAATATTGTTTATGTGTGGTTATTGTAAAAACTAAAAATGAAAGTTTCTGAAATAAGGCCACAAAACACATACTAAATATGCGTACACAAGACTTTTGACTAATTGATGTTGTTGCCTAGGGTTTTTTCTTCACAATGATCTGAAAATCATCCTCCTAATCGTTCACATAAAACTGTGAACTGGGTTATATTGTGAAAAACATTTTTTTTTGTTTGCCAAGGCAATATGCGAACAGGCCAGCCCCATCATGAATAATTAGGTGATTCTCACCTGAGAGACAAAGACACGCATAATAATGAGCCTTTCATTCTGGTGAGTCAGACAAGAAAAAATTGAAAGGACAACATACATACATACATACATACACACACACACACACACACACACACACACACACACACATATATATATAAAAATGAGAAGTTCAGATTCTAAAGTTCAAAACCCTCTACGTGCCAAATAATC